GTATCTAAATTTTTAATATTTTCAAAACCACTTAAATTTTAATTTTTATTTCGTTTTAGTATCTCACCGTTAAAAAATTAACGAATGATTTGCATGCGGCATCTTTTTTATGAATAAATTGTATCATTCATCACTCAATTATCTTCTCACTCCTATTTTGATCATTAAAGTTTAATTTTTTTAATTTAATTACTTACCTTTCAAATCACTCCTAATTTAATCACTCTAACTTTCAAATTTTTTTATTTTTAACTATATTAATAAAATAATAATAAAAATGTTATATCACAAAAGTAATTAATAAAATAAATTAGAGTAATTAAAATAGGAGTAATTTGAAAGTTGAGTAGTTAAATTGAAATTTTTTAAACTTTAGTACCAAAATAGGAGTAACAAGATAGTTGAATGATGAACGATGTAATTTATCCATACAAATTCAATGCCATTGAGTTTTTAACGGTGAGATACTAAAATAAAACAAAAACTAAATATTAGGTATGATTTTGAAAATATTAAAAATATAAGTCTAAAATAGACCAAACTTAATAGGTTAGGTACTAAAAGCATAATTTACCCTAGCATCAAAGCGATAGATCCATAATGAGGAATTAAGGATGTGCGCAGAGGATATCTATCACCCCAATCCCTTTAAATTTTGTTAGAAACAAAGCAAAGGAAAACATTTCTTTTCGCCGAAGAAAGATTCGATAATTTTCGCTAGAATCGGGACTGAATGGCGGTTAGTGCAATTTTTATTTCTTTTTTGAAGTATCTTGTTTGGTTGGTGAGAAAAGATTTTATGATTTTCCATTTCGATTTCACCTTCAAGATCTAACTTATCCTTGTTCTGTGTTCTAACATATACATATCTGTTATTTAGTTAGTAATCTTTTTTAATATTTTCTTTTTCAATTTCATACAAAAAGGTACGAGACTTTAGGTGAATTTGGTTGTACCTTCTCTGGATTCGTATGCGACTCTACTTATGGATTTGGTTGATTCCCATAGTTAGCGATTTCTTATGTAAAGTATTGCTCGAGTAGTGCTTACTTTAGAGAAAAAGTTTAAAACAGGATTTGCATAATTTAATTTGGTAATATTGGACACTGTATATGTTTGGAAACGCGCTTTTGTGATTATTGATCTAAGATGCTAGCTTTATGTGATGATGAAACTTAATGGAAATTTTGTTTTGTATTCATGCTAAAAACTTTTAGGAATTTTTCTTAGTAATGGATGTAATAATATTGGATTGAATATGCTTTGTCTATTTTGGGCTGTATGACTTGTTTTCTTTGACAGATCCAATCCGTGAAAGTAGGGAACGTTTCCTTGGGTGCATCTGAGCAAAATATTAAGGAGTTCTTTTCGTTCTCTGGTGACATTGAACATGTTGAATTGCTTAGGTTAGTGATTACCATTAGATATTTAAGCATATATATATATATATATATATTGATTTTCAGGCTCTTCTCTACTGTATGGGTACAAATAAAAGTTATGATAGTTGTAGTTGTTTAAACAACTACTTCTGTCTTCTAATCATGTAGATGTACCACTATAGTGATGTTCTGAAATTCTGCAAAAATTATCTGGTCTAGGTTTCTTATTACTTTCACTTTTTTCCTTTCAGTGGTAACGAGCTATCACAAGTTGCATATGTTACTTTCAAGGAACCACAGGGAGCAGAGACTGCTGTTCTTCTTTCAGTATGCACTTATCCTATTGCTTTTGTGCTTTTTGTAGCAATTAGTTTAACCTTTTTTTACCTTTTCAGACATGAATCACATAATTAGATTTTATTCTACTGTCAGAAGGACAATGACGAGTCTAATATGTATTGGGATTAAATATATACGTTCTACATATTGTACTAGATATTCGTATGATGTGAGTTCAATTTCTATTGTGTAGTGGAATATGTAAAGCTGAAACATCGTAAGAATAAACTCTCTGCTTTCCATGGATATTGAAATAAATCATGTATCCAAAAACAAGGAATGAAATGTTTATAAATCCCTTCTGGAATTTCGTATATGATATGCTTTTGAAAGTGGATACTTTAATGCATTACCAGTTGGATCGCCATGCCAATGTCCTTTTTCTTTTTTAAGCATTTCATCAATTATAAGACAATAACCATTGCTAGGGAAAGATATTTCCCTTTGAAGTAGGTTTGCTGACAACGTATGTAAATGGAATCCTTGCATGCATTTGACTGAAAGTATTTGGATCTGTATTTTGAATTTTCTCTATGCTTTGTTTTAGGGTAATTGATTTAAATTTATAATTTAATGTCAAGAAAATGACCGGATCTAGTTGAGCCGAAATGTTCACTGATTGGGCCGAAATGTTTAATTTCATTCTTATGAATTGAGAATTCATGATTTTTTTTTTCAGGGGGCAACGATTGTAGATCAATCTGTTACCATAGAGCTTGCTCCTGATTACAAGCCACCTGCTACTGCCACCACAACACCTGTAATGTCCTAACCTGTAGCAATATGCTTTGACTTCGCTTACGAAATGACAATTTTAATGTGAATGAATATTTTGATTACCTTAGGCAACACAGAACAAAGATGGTGGCCAGGCTGAATCCGCTGTCCAGAAGGCAGAGGATGTTGTAACCAGCATGTTAGCCAAGGGTTTCATCCTCGGCAAAGATGCCGTGAATAAAGCAAAGGCCTTTGATGAGGAGCATCAGTTCACATCAACCGCAACTGCCAAAGTCGCATCTCTGGACCAGAAGATCGGTTTCACTGAGAAAATTACTGTCGGCACTACTTTGGTGAATGACAAAGTGAGGGAAATGGACCAAAAGTTTCAGGTTTCTGAGAAGACCAAGTCTGCTATTGCAGCCGCTGAGCAGACAGTCAGCAACGCCGGTTCCGCTGTAATGAAGAACCGTTATATCTTGACCGGAACCTCGTGGGTCACTGGCGCATTAAACAGGGTTGCTAAAGCTGCAGGTGATGTGGAGCAGAAGACGAAGGAAAAAGTGTTGGCAGAGGAGGAAGAAGCGCACAAATCAAAGGGGTATGCAAGGATGGACGAGTCGGAATCGCCGAAAGCTGCACGCCCCTCATCCCCACAAGGTTTAATCCTTTAATTTGCAAAAGATTGTAAATACAAGCAGCAGGGGAAGGTATGGTTTTCGTTGTCCGAGTTCTACTTTCTGGTTTGGACAATAGTTGAAAACTTAAACGTAGGGTAGCTTGTCACATACCGTTTGATATGTTTGATATACTGTGACTTAAACAATAATAATTGAATTGGAAACAATTCAACATCAATTTATTTATTTATTATGGATTGGTTTGTATCATTGAGAAGTGAATTATATTTTTTAAAACGTAGATTTTAAAAATTATTTTATGATATTTAAATGTAATTTAAAAAAATATATTATATGACAATTTAAATTATAAAATGATTTATATAAAATATAAATAAATTATATTATTTAACTTGTTTTTCGTTAATTAAACATAAAAAAGAAAAACCTTTTTTTATAAAATTAATTATATGAAATAAACAAATCTATATTCATCTTTTTCTTCGTGAAATAAGTTTAATGAATAAAAAATTGTCATTTTCCTTTTTTTTTTATTTCGTTGAAATAAGTTTAGTGTTTCCTTTTTTTTTCTATTTCGCCGAAATAAGTCTAGTGGATAAAAAAATAATTAAAAAAAACCGTAAAATGTTTTTTTTATAAATGATTTTTTGTTATAAAATTTATTTATGTATAAGATATTGTTTTGCTGTACGTTATTATTAGGTTTTTATTAGTATTAGAGTTGTATATTATATTTATTGTTAGTGATTATAAATATAGATGTTAGAGAAAATATAATGTACAATTTAGATTAAGATAATAATACAAATGTACAATTCCCTCTTTATATTCTCATCTCTTATTTTTTTCTTTTTATTGTTTCATTTTTTTTATTTTAAAACATTTTTATATTTTTATTTAAATTAACTTAAACTAAATGTATCATATTAATAATATATTTTAAATTTTAATGTAAAAGTATTTGGAAATATTAAAATAATATAATTTATATATTATATTTTTTAACATCAACAAGCATGTTCGTTTACATTTCAAGGATTAATATTTAATGGACGATATATATTTTTATACGTCCTTAATGAAACGGATGATGACACATTAAGTATAATATTAAATTTATTTTTAATGATGTATCATTATCTAGTTAATAAAATTATTATTTGATATTATATTAGTATTATTTATTAATAAATACTATTTTTAATATTTAATTGAAAATTGTTTTATATAATTATTTAATTATAAATATAGACTAAAACCTGTAAATATTAAATAATAAATGTTATGCAATATAAAAGTATTAACATTAGACTAATATTTTTTTGAATCAATTTTTGCAAAATAAACATACTCTATTATCTTATAATTATCCTAGACTATTCAAGAGAAAAATAAACACACCTTAATTACAACTATCTTTATAGTTTTTATCAATTTAATCTTTAATCACTAAAAATATATAAAAGTTCAAAAAATATTTTTATTAATGACATTAAAAAATATATAAAATGTAAACTTTTTAAAAAATAAATTTAGTCATATATTTACAGTTTTTATCACGTTGATATTTAATCTCTAATCATTAAAAATATATAGAGCATATTTTTAGTTATAAATTATCATTTTAAGACAAATTTAAGTGATCAAGGACTGAATTGATGAAAACAGTACACAAATGACAATTTTGTTGGCTAAATAATATGGTGAGGAGACATTATATCAACTTGATTTTAATAAAAGTATATATATATATATATATTCGATAAAATTAGGATGAATATCAAATAATATTTGTTTAAAACAATCCTATGACAATACATGCTCATACCCCCACATAAGCGGTGTTCGAACACAATACTTCATGGCATAATAAAAAATTTCTTAACCGCTTAAATCGTTGCAAAAGGCTCGGCTTTTGTGTGAAGCAATGCAAATTCAATATTAGAGTAATAAAAACCCCAAAGCTAAACATCTAAAACGTTATGAAACAATTCCCCAATTGTCTCCATAACACCAACTCTTCGCCATCATCACAAAACTGAAACCAAAGTTTCTAAGAATCAAGTATACAATGGATCTTTCACTTAAGAAACATCTTTAAACAAAATAATCATAACCATGTAAATTAGATGCTCCTCAAAGTTCTTCCATCCGAGACCTTTCGGGCGAAACCGTTACAATAGCTTCAGTCCACCGGTTACATCATCCACCATTTCAATAGGTCCTACAAAGAGCATTGCATTGTAGAACTAAATAAAAGAAAGAGGAATTCACAGGTTTTGCAGGCAAAAGAGACGCTTACCAAGAATAGCCATCACTGTCCTCGAATCTGAAAATGTATATATTAAAACAAAAATGCCTTTAGAAAGAAAAAGATACTGAAAAATGTTCACTTAAGAACTTAAATGCAGTCATGTGCTTGTGATGTAGCGAAATGAAAACAGTCATGTGCTTGTGATGTAGCGAAATGAAAACGGTCTGAATCTGTAATTGATGACCAAAACCTATGTATTTCTGAACTATAGCTTAGCAATTAGAAGACTGATTCTAACAGTAAGACAATTTATTATTTCTTTCTTTAAGCTTGGGTCAACACCACCACTTGATTTTTCACTATCATTGCTTCTAACAATAAAAATAACTCCGAGGTTCCGCATACGTAAAGGCTAAAGCATATTCATAGAAAAGCATCAAAATGATTCCATAGCTTATCCTTGCTAACTTCCCATTAAGATGAATAATTTAGGATAATAATAGTTTGTCTCTAACGTTCTAAAAACCAAAAAGAAAAAACAGAAAGAAAGAGATTTCATAACACCACCCAGTAAACGCCGATGATAGCAAAATATCCCAACCTTGAATTTGCTTCTTTAACATTTTCTCTTGTTTAATCCCTTTTCTCTTTTCAAACTCCACAGTTTCTTCCAATCTTTTCCATTTTTTCCTTTCATGAAACCCATACTTTGATTTCCACTTTCAGCTAAAAACTGCTAAAGAAATGAATTAACTACGGGTTATTAAAAACGCAGAACATAAAAGGAAGCCAAAGACGGCTACATTGGAGGGCCCTACACAAGTCCCTTTCGTATAGCTTATATTCATAAGTGCATACCGATCCTAAGACAAACTGAGCTTGAGCAATTTATAGAAACTGATGATTTAGGATTCAACAAAAACCTTGATGACATAAATCATGAAGAGAAAAAATAAACCATGCCACTCACTTGGTGCAATCTGTGTTCTCCCTGCATCAATGGTGATATGCGTCGGTATATTTAGTGATTTTGCCCTCTCCTGAAAAGTTAAATTCTAGTTAATAATTGATAAATCTATGTATATTGAAATACCGAGATATATAATTAGAAATGATGACACTCTAATGAGAAGAGTAAGACCAAAATGTAGTTGATGCCATGCAAACCAGTGAAGTGTGGACCTTCTATTGGAGACGGGTTTGGCAACAATAAAAAGAAACATCAACCAAGTCCTAAGATTTGCATCAAAGAATTATCAGCATCAAGGTTCATAAGTAAAAAATTAAATGGTTCATGCACAATATCGAGAAAGATGGATAAATCTAACAGAGCCACTCTTGTATAAACATGTAAATATGCTCTGCCTTCTACCATCCACAAATGCAAAACCAAGTAACCAATAACTTATTTCTTTCACCGATACTCAGTAAAGTGGTCAGTTTCGCATCATAATAAATTCTTTCTTTCATCTGAAACACAGGCTTTTTCTTCTGACAAACGTTTTCAGTGGATAAATTGTTGATACAGATTAATTAAATTAACATTTCAAATTTGGGGTTAATCCTCCATTGCCGGAGAATGATGATACCCTGAAACAGCCCTGCCTGGATATATGCCCAATTGCTAATAAACGAAGGGTTATTCAAAAGAATGTGGATGTGATGAAATGTTCAAAGGCCTAGCATCTTGATTCAGGTTTCCAACCAACTTTTTGATGCCGTCGTGCTCTCAATGTACAAATTGTTGATGTATGTAAAAAGGTTTCCATCATTACATTTCTTCTGTGTTTTATAACTCTGTTGTGCTTGTTAACCACATGTTTTAGATGAACAATATACAGGAAACAGCAAGAGTCATAATTTTATACCCAAAAAATAATTACACGGTAGATGGTGTTAATAGTAGAAGGGGTGCACAGGAATAAATCTTAAATCACACTTACTTGCAAAACTAGCATATCTTCCTCACTATCAATTTTCACAACCACCTTTGGCTGAGCACACATCTCCCACCTGCATATTGACAGCATATGGGCGAAAATGAAAGAGAGAGACACAGACAGAGATCGAATGAAAAGCACTAGTTTCAATGGTGTAATGCCAGAAATGCTCTACCTGTTCAAAGCTTTTGGTGCTCGGTGTAGGAGTTTTTTGTAAAGACCCAAAGTTGCATGACTAAACATTAAAAGGAAAAAAAAAACAAGTTGGATTACGAAGTTAACAAAAAGGGATTCAGCAGAACAATTTTTTCATGAAAAAAATGTGCAAATCAATCAAGGGTCATGCAACAAGAGGTTAATAAATCACATCAGATGCATTGACCACTTTTTAACAGTAATAGTACAAAGGATCAGTGACCGTAAATTCACATTAAATTTCTAATAAGATGGCAGAATGAGCAACAACCAAAGTAGCTGTAGCAGCATTTTGTTAAAAGATGGCAAGAAATAAATCTGCCTATTGGCTGTTTACTGAAACAGCACGGCTCACTCGAGGAACTTAAAAGATGACCTTACCCAATGGGTTAAATCTAGTTTTGTTTCTTACAAGATATTATGCCATGATGAGAATCATAATGTGTCACAACTGATACAGTGCAAAAGTTACAATCATTTATTGAGTACGACAAGCTTTGAGAACTGCTTACCACACCCCAAGCATTCAAGTATAATTACAATTTAACTGATAGCCGTCAGAGTTCTATTTGATGGTTTAATTTTTCTTGGAAGGATATTCATAATCAGTTAATAGGAATAAGCATATCCCATCTAATCAACAAAATTTAGGGTTAGGAAAGGATCTATCAATAATCACATAGTACTTCATTCAAATATAACAGAACATCTACCGCACTACCTGGTTTGTCTAGCAAATTCATCTCTCAACAGCAAAAGTTGCATAAAAAGCTTAATAACTAATAAAACTACACAAAAACAAGGCTCACCTGCACTGGGCAGCAATTTTCCCTTTACCCATCTTAAGATCATTTCTTACAACCAGGACCTGAAGATGATAAAAGAAAGACAGAGATGTTCAATCTCCATTCCCTAACATTTAATAGTTTGCCTAACATACCAATGTCAATCCAAAAGAGTACAGAAACAGCTCAATACCATTTTAAAATCCTCTAGAATGTCAGCCAACTTTTCGATTTCCAATGGTTCTTTGATCTTCTTATTTGCTTTAGAGATTGTAGTATCCTTACTTCCTCTTGATGAGAGAAATAAATAAGTAGGATGGCACTTACCAACGCAATACCCCAAGGCAAGGCAGCCAGCCCCAACTAGGATGGCACTCAACCATGACAAATCCACCATTTTAAAGAACCAATGAAGAATCCCCCCTTTTCCTAAAAGCCACAACAAGAATCCACTTAAAACTAAAAGGAAAATCACATTGTGCATAAATAGAATTAAAATATCCACCTTGAGGATTTTAGTAGAATTACAATCATGTTACAGATAAACGAAAGGGAGAAAAAAAGAAACTAATAATCTTATATTGGTAGTAATAACAATACATGTCGTGCAATAAGGACTTATTTAGGCTCCATTTAGTTGATGGTCTCATATTCTGCTTTCCGGCTTTGCTATCGACATACATGCTAACATGTAAAAGTAAACGATAAAAGGCTAAATGATAATTAATTAGAAAGAGAACAAACAATTAACGCTCAGCACCAATTCTAGCATAATTATTGTTCAATATAAAAGTAGAATTATACATTTTCTTGTCCAAATTGCATTTCTAGAATTTCTGCTTCCAAAAAGAGGGTAAAACAAAAACCAAAAAATAGCTAAATTAAATAAATAGAAGTAACAGAACTTTAAACTCTGAAGCCAAAGCCGATATCAAACCAAAGAACTTGAAATATGTAAAATGTGATCGATCCAATTAATTTAAACACCCAAACACCTAATTTTCATTCAATAAGGTTTTCAGCCACTAAAGCTTCAGAACATTAATAGCAATCGAACTAGCAAGTTCCAAACTTTATACCTAGACATTCATTAATAAAGAAAACACTTACAGAAACGAAAGCATTGAGAAAATTTAACAGGGAAGGAAGAAAAAAAAATAGAGAAACTATACCGATTAGAAGCTGTGGGTCAGAGTTGGATCTTGAAGTTTTTTACTTTTGGGTTTCTTTGGGGTTTGCGTTTGGGTACAAAGCAAGGGTTAAAAGGGGGGCGGGGGCGGGGGCGGGGGAATGACTGCGAGCGACCGATCAATGGGGAGAAAAGGAAGAATAGGAGGTTGGGTAAAGTCAGGGGTGTGCAAAAAGATTTAATTCGATCGATTTGATTCTATTAATTCTATCTATTTTTTATTTTTGAATAATTCAGATTAAATATTTAAAAATAAATATTGTGAGATAATTAATCCATTAAACGAGTACCTCGTTAATCCATTAAGTTTAGTCAAATAAAAAGTGAGATAATTAATTATTTATTGTGTGTAAGTAAATATATATATAATAGATGTATCAAATAAACTACATTAAGTCACAAAAAAATAAAAATAAAATTTTATTTTTTCAAATTAAATTTTATATTCTGATCCGGATATCCATTCTAAAAATTCAGATATTCAAAAATTCGGATATACATTTTCTTGGATCGGATACGAATCACTATTTTAGGTATCCAAAATTTTTAGATATCTTAATTTTCGTATCAAATCGGATTCGATATCTGAATTTATACACCCCTAAGTACAGTCAAAATTAATAATAATATAAAACACAAGGTAGAGGGAGCTGACTAAAAAGCCAGACTAATCTGGATAGGTTTCTTGAAAAAAATTAATAGTTACTCTTTGATGTAAAAAATTATAAAATTGAGTAATATTAGATCTTGATAAGTATCGATATTCAGTGATAAATATCAAAATTTTCGTAAAATAAGTATTAAATTGGCTAACATGTTAAGTTGCAACCTAAAATATTAGGTTAATCATAACAAAATTTGTAAAATGATAATTTTTTTTGGATATAACCTAAAATGTTAACCACAATTTTAAGTTTTTTTCCCGACAATATAGAAGTCGCTAGTTGTATTAAAAATAGAAAAATATTCAAATTACAATAAAGATTTACAACTACAACCATAAATTAAACATATAATAAGGATATTTTTCTATAATCATCAACACAAGAAATTAGTCTCTTAAGATCACACAATTAACATATATAAAGAAAAGGTTAAAAAATCTAACCAAATAAACTCGAATAAAAGGTGGATACGAGAAGATATAATTGTATCGATAAATGAACTATAAAATGAGATCAAACTATTGAAAGACCACCGACAAACCATAAATTAGAATCGACCGATGTGAGAAAACTATCTACTAATGCAAATCACGTATCCAAATCCAATTCGATGATCCAAAGCAGGGAAAATCAACATGATAACAAAAGTGTCATATTGATTAGTTGTGGCGATGTCAAATTCAATCTTAAGAAAAAATATAAATGAAAATAACAATCAAACGACCGAAAACGTGATAAAAGACAAAGATAAATGTGCCATAAAAGTAGAGGAAATCGTGCCATAAATGTATAGTTATTAAATTAAAAAGAAACAAATATACAATATAATAAATAAAGAAAAAAATAGTGAATACCGACAGTCAGCGATCAGCACTAAGGATGGTGTCGCCATCAATCACAAAGATAAAGAAGAAAAATGACTAACGATGATACGAGAAAAAAAGAAGAGAACTAAGGTTAAAAACCCTGAAGTATTTTTTACTAAACCTCAATTTTAAGTTTGAATCAATTTTGATACTCATGTAATATTTTAGGTTGTAATCGAAATAGTTACTAAAATATATAACATTTTAGGTTGCAACTTAAACCACTACCTTAAATCATAACATAGTATTAAAATATAGAACTTTTCTAGTTACAACCTAAAATGTTAGAAAAACGTATAACATTTTAGGTTACAATCTAAAACATTACCTTAATCATAATTGTTGGATGATTTCCTGTTAAATTTTGATACTCAAACACAAGTACCGATATTTATCATGAAATATAGTCGATCTCAGACACTTAAACACAAAAATCTTACAATTTTTATTCTTATTCTCCTGAAACTTCTTCAAATCCTCTCCATTTTCAGTCAAATTTCCTCAAATCAATCCACATTTTAGTGATATTTCGACGAATGAAGGCTTAGAAACACCTTTACTTGCTCCAGTTCATATGTATTTAATCTAATCAAAGGTATTTTTTAAAACTCTAGTTTTATTTTTGTTTCAAATTTTTTTGAATTTTTGGGTTTGTTTTTTAAAATTGTTTCATGTGATGACATTTCATGATGATTAAATTGTGTTTAAACACCATATTCTTGTATGAAATCAAAGTTATTTCTAAAAACTCTATTTTTTAATTTTAGGGTTTGTTTTTAAAAATTCCTTTACTTTTGCTTTCCCAATTTTTAAACCCTACAAAGTAAACATCTAAAACCCTATTTTTTCTTTGTATGTTTGAAATTTTTTTAGTGTAGTTGATAGTAAGTTTGGATCAAATCTTACAAATATTATGTGAATGATTGAAAATTTGAAAGCAGTTGATGATACTAAGTCTCAGTCTAAGGACGTTAATGAAAAAAATAATCAAGGTCACTTGGAGGATTGAGAATTTTTATAGTATTAAAGATCACAAGCTCGAATTTGAAAACTTTATTGTTAATGGCTTCATTGTGCTTTTCATGGCATGATATTCAGATTTGGAAGATCATTAGAGGTTCTATATTCATATGTGTATCGTGAACATAGAACACTAATGCTTCAAGAAAAATAAAGAATCCAAATAGTATAACTTTCAGTTGGAACTACTCATACCCCTTGCATTCCTGGCTCAAATGACATCATTTTCTTGCATGTTCATAAGTTTGTACATTAACACTATTGTATTCATTTTAATAAATAAATATGAATAGTTCTCTATTTTTATTAGTTTTATCGATCAAATGAAATACGCCATGAGGAGGGATGAATTGGCCTTTTAAAAGGTTTGGTGGAAGCAATTGAAAAATAAAATTTTGCACTATGAGTTTAGAGTGATTCGACTTCTCAATCAAGTCTATATTCATTACCTTAGCATTCACACTAAGGATTTCTAAAATCCACTAGATTTGCTTACCTTTAAGGACAAGGTGTAACCTTACAAACACTTCAAGATTTATACCTCAAAACCTTGAATACACACTCTCCTAAAGAGTAATTACAAATTGTCCCGGCCGTCTTTCGGGTAGGCCCGAAATTGGGCTTCGACTTAAATAAAATGCTAGAGTCACCACCGATCATTTTCAAAAAATATTTGGGCTGATCGGACACCATCTTACCTGATCTACGTTTTACCAGAAATGTGTCGGGTTCGGGAGCCGGTTACAGTCAAGGAAGGATTAGCACTCTTGTACTGCCCTTTCGGTACCAATTAATTTGTCGGTTGTCTTAATTGTGAAAATTAAAAAATTTAAATTAAAATTTAGAAACCCGACTCAAATTGCTTACCTTTTGATTGATTAAAAAATTCCCTTAATAAGTCAAAAATATTATTAGATTGTAAAATAAAAATGAATATGAAAAAAAAGAATAAAAAATATTAATATAATAAAAATAATAAAATAAATAAAATAGATAAATAAACTTGAGTAAAAAAACTAAAAAACTAAAAAAATGAAATAAAATAAAAAATAAAAAAAGTGTTAAAATAAAAATAAAACAAAACCAACGAAAGAACAAGGAAATAAATAAATAAATAAATAAATAAAAAAGGACCAAAATGAATGATGTTAAAAGATGGAATATCTCAGCAAGGATTAATCCTTGAAAATCCAAAAACATGTTACCTTGCACATTACCAGATGTGTCAAGCAAACATGATCCCCACATGAAGTGTAATTTAAAGGGTTTTTACCCAAAACATTATTTGCCTTCAACAGTATTAATAACAATCTCAACACCTTTCTGGAGATCACACACTTGAGGTCCCTTTGGAACCTAACCATATATGCATATGTTCTTGATCCTTGATGATGCACCAAACTTAGCAGCTTCTTATTGTATCTGAACCGTAAGTTCTCGTGTTGGGGCTAATACTGATACAATGAGACCATCTTCAGGAGCTAAAATTGGTTGTGCCTTCACATGAACAATTGCAGGCAAAAAATAGGCAATAGTCTTCCCTGATCCAGTTTCAGCAATGCCAATAAGATCACGACCCTTCAAAGCCATTGGACAACCTTGGGCTTGGATGGCTATTGGTTCAACACACTATTTTTATAATTTCTTGCTGCACACAGTCTTTGAGTATGTGAGGTTGAACCGTTAGATCGAGCTGTGGTCGGAGTATGTCGTTCCTCGTGTTGTCTCCTACTTGTTGACCGTTTAGATCATTGAAAGGAGCCTCCGATCGCCGAAAATATGTTTCGGCCGAATGGGTAAGCTCATCTCATTGTTCTGGCTCTTTTCATCTTTTTCTCCTAATCTCGGTCCTTTTACTTCTTACGTGTTTAGGTCACCATTTGCAGGTTTCGGGATCGATGGTACATTGATGGTGTGCTGGGTGGTTTCTTGCCATGACCGAGAGGCTATTGCACCTCTCTTTCTCTTTAATTCATTTTTTGCTTTGTTATTGCCCCCTCCTATCCAATCTAAAGTTGATTTAAATAAATAGAAAGGCCAATTTGATTCAGATTCCCACTTTCCTTTTTTTGAGAAAAGGGGAAGCAAACATACGTGAGTTTAGTTGAACTATTGAAGAGACGTGCGAGGTAGTGGGTGGGGTCGATCATTAGGTGAGTAGTGGTTTAGTGGGTAGGTAATAATTAATAATAATAATATTTTAAAGCCTGGTCAAAAATGGGTGTCTACAGTTGCCCCTCTTTGCACATTCTTGTGTTGACAAGAATAGAGCAAAGACGAAAAAGACAATCAATTTTTGTCCGGTTCTCTTTTTTGTTTTGAGACTGGATATTGTTTGATTTGGAGGACGACACTGCTTATACGTGATGAAGATTTCAGGTAATCTAAGGATGATAACACGGTTCCTATGTGATGAGGATGGCTGGTTATCTAAAGGATGATGACACGGTTCCTACGTGATGAGGACAACTGGTCGAGGGATGACACGGTTCCTATGTGATGAGGACAACATGCCATCTTTAAGTATGATAACACAGTTCCTACGTGATGAGGACGACAGATTATTTAAGGTTGATACGGCTT